ACTAAAGAGAGCAAATACAGTGGGAAAGATTATCTAACAAAGTTTACATTTGAAAGCAAAAGATCATTGGACCAGAATGATATGGACAGAATCTTTAAAATGACATTTCAATCATCTGAGTTTACCACAGAACTACAGTTTACTATAAGACCAAGAGGTAATGTTAATGTGCGTTTAATCCACTTCTGAATATCATCCTGTTCAGAGCCCCCCAATTCCCAAATGCTTGTTAATATATTATGTTCATCATGGCACCTAGTAACCTAACTCCCATACAACATGACTGCTTTAGTTTACTGCTATGCTCATGAGGATGTCACTTTGGTTACCAAGTTACAAGAGTTAAAAGTTCAGGATGGCTTTCCAAGTTTTTAAGCAGAGCAAAAGCAAGTTTAGTTGATGGAACTATTGAACAGACTAAAGTAGGATCTGTTGAAATTGAGACAGGAAAGGATGTGGAACGTCCTAAGGTTAAAGATAAGATGAAATGAGACAATATAATTAGTACTTGTACATCCGATGATATCAACAAGCGACCGTGAACATGCTCTGTGGTCGAGTGGTCTAAACTGAGCAAATCTCAAGTTGACGGTCGATATTTCAATTCCAGCCAGAGCCCGGTCAAGCAAAAACCCCACCAGCACCGCCGGGCGATGGGACCCGCTAACCATGGTCGGCAACTCATATAAGAGAATGAAACTCTAAATTCAAACCCAAGGATGGCGTCCCCTACAGGCGGCAAACATCGAAACAATGAATCATTTTGACAACCCCTGCCACCACTGAGAGCGCAGTGAGCATGCTAATATAGCATGGATACTTAGCGCTATATAAGTATTCAATCAATCAATCAATGTCAGAGAACTTTTTGAGATTTATGGATAAGAAACTTCAGATATTTGTATTTAAAGGTTATTTTATACAAAAGCTTGTAATAAAAGAAAGAAAAGAAAAACATTAAAAGGAAAAAAGAAAACTATGCATAAAACTGTAATCAGACCAGTAATAACATATGCCCGTCAACTGTAATCAGACCAGTAATAACATATGCCCGTCAACTGTAATCAGACCAGTAATAACATATGCCAGTCAACTGTAATCAGACCAGTAATAACATATGCCAGTCAACTGTAATCAGACCAGTAATAACATATGCCAGTCAACTGTAATCAGACCAGTAATAACATGTGCCAGTCAACTGTAATCAGACCAGTAATAACATGTGCCAGTCAACTGTAATCAGACCATTAATAACAAATGCCAGTCAACTGTAAACAGACCATTAATAACAAATGCCAGTCAACTGTAATCAGACCAGTTTTAACATATGCCAGTCAACTGTAATCAGACCAGTTTTAACAAATGCCAGTCAACTGTAATC